CCCCAAAACCCCAAAACCCCAAAACCCCGGGGATTAAGCTATAAAAAATTTCAAAGTAATGAAATATGAGAATATTAACTGATATATTTAAGAATATTTAAATGTTGGAGTAATAGATCCTATCCCAAGAATCTCAGATAAATACAAATATCTAAATCAATAGAAAGAATACTGATATGAAATAAGCCAAGTTTACTGACAATAGGATTCATGTTTCAGTCAGACTCAAACCACTCTAAGTTAATGAAAAATTATTCGACAAAAATAGGATTTGGCAAGTTCAAAGTGACAATTAGACCATGGTAAATAAGCAAACAAAAGAAAATTATACATTTGGTAAGAACACTTTGTTTAATTCTGATAGATCGAGTGTACAATGATGTGGTATCGACCTATGATATATTTTAGGAAGAGGCAAAGGGGATGATCCTATCTGCTCTAGATGGGCTAAACGTAACTATATTCGCATATGGTTAGACTTCTTCAGGCAAAACTTTCACAATGAGAGGATCTCAAAGCAACCAAGGACTGATTCCTTTAGCCTTATCAGAAATATTCAAAGCACTTTACTCAAAATATTCAAATTCAAATCAGCTTCTTTATAATCAAGATGGCTATCATCACAATAATCATAATATGGCAGCAAATTGGAGAGTCAAGGTTTCCTATCTCGAAATTTATAATGAATGTGTGAATGATTTATTAGATCCAAACAAAAAGAACTTAGATGTAAGAGAGTGCCGCTAAAGAGGTATTTATATTGATCAGCTGTCTCAGTTCGAAGTAAAATCTTTGAATGATACTCTAAACTACTTAAATTAAGGTGATGAACAAAGAATAATAGCTGAGACTAGATTAAATGAGAAGAGTTCTAGATCCCACACAGTGTTTAAAATTGAATTGATGATTGAAGAAAAGGAAGAGAGTACAGGGAAGTCTACAACTAAAACCTCCTAGATTAATTTAGTAGATCTTGCGGGGTCTGAGGGTGTGAGTAGAACCAAATCAGAAGGAATGAGATTTAGAGAGGGGGCCAACATCAATAAAAGTTTGCTTGCCCTATCTAATGTAATATGCAAACTCAGTCAAAAGAATTAATCATCAGCCAAGAATTACTTCATAAACTTCAGAGATTCCAAGCTCACTCGTATTCTTTAATAGTCTCTACAAGGCAACTCTAAAACTGCAATTATTTGCACAATATCATAGCTATTTGCGAATTATTAAGAATCCAGAGAGACTTTGAATTTTGGAGCTAAGGCTAAGAATATTAGAACTTAAGTTGTACTTAATGAATTAATCACCAATCCTGATGAAGTGAATCCTACTTAACTTTTGATACTATAAAAAGAAAATGAAAGTCTTAGAGAGAAAATAAAAACCTAAATGGAAATTCTGGAGTTATTTGAAAAAGAAAAGGATGAGTAGTAGGATAATTAAAATTTAGGGTTGATTCATTTGAGATAACACATTGAATATTTGAATCAGCTTTTGAGTGAGAAAGATACTCAACTACTTGACAAAGAGAAGTAAAATTTAAAGTTATTAAAATCACAAGAGACTCTTTAACTGGAATATAAATCACTCAATGATTAACTGAAGTTAACGGAGGAGAAATTTCTTAACGAGAGAAATAGGCTATATAATAAAGCAAGGTAGTATAAATAGAAACTTTAAGAAATCAATGAAAAGAATGATCTCTTAAATGGTTTCTTTGATATTAAGCAAAAGTCTGCTCTTGAAATATCAGACACATCTTTATTATCCTCTGCTAATCAAGAGAACATGACTATATAGAGTGTTTAGGATTACTTGAAGAAGATTGATTCACTTTCAACCTAAAACAAAGACTTAATGAGTAAAATTAATGAAATGAATGAAGAATTATTCCAAAAGTGCAATTAATATGACAAACTGTAAGATAAAGTAACCGATTTAGAGGGTTAAATGAAGGAATTGAAAATAGTCTCTAGAAAGAAGGACTAATCCTTGAGTAAAAAGAACTTTGAAATATCAAACCTAAAATCCAAGATAGAAGTGCTGGAGAGATAATCTTAATCTTTGTTTAAAGATCTAGATCACACACTGCAAGGCTTAAGTGCCATAAATAACAGTGGGATTGACATGAATGATGAATTTTTAAATGAGCAGGAATTATAAATGTTAGACTCTCAGTCTTTTCAAGAAATCATTCAGTCTCAGAGAAATAGCATCTAACCATCACAAAGAGGATCGAGAGGGGATAATAACAGATACTCTGTCCCTATTTTGACATAGAAAATCTTAGATGGTCAAACATCAAATTTAATTAAAGAACTCTAGAATAAGCTTGAAATACTAGAATCTGAAAAACTTAATCTAGAATAGCATAGAGATCAGCTATTGTAAGATTTGGAGGAGTCTGATTAAATTAAAGATCAATTAGTAGAATAGCTTAAAAACCAAGACTATGTCTTTATGCAAATCTAAGAGGAGAAAGATGAGCTTTAAAGAGATCTAGAGCAGATGATGTACTCTCATAACATAGAGGAATAAACAATTTTATCATTAAGAGACTAAGTTTAGAGACATATCGAAGACATTAAAAACCTTGTCTTAAAAGTTCTAAACTAAGAGCAGGAAATAGAGAAGTTTAAGCATAGTGATCAAGAAAAATAAATATTGATCAATAAGCTTCATTCGGAAATAGACCAAATGAAGAGAGACGCTCGCAAAAGAAAGCGAGATGAATTTAGTGTTTAATTTGATTCAAGCACTTCTGATGCTATCTAACAAAGAGATATAAAAAGATAAAAACCTAATGATAACAGCAATAGAGTAGACTAATACATTGAAAAATCATCTGGACTTTTTGGAGATAGTAAGTATTTGATTTTTCATCATTAAAATTTAGTATCAGCTGATATTAGGTAAAACAGACTGCTATTCAATTAACTTACACAAAAAATAGATGTGATTAAAAGTTTCCACCAACAAAGACCTTTATAATCACCTTCACAATTTTAATCAGAGTCCTCTTACATATCAAACCAAAACAGTTTCACACCAAGAAGAGAACTTGAAAAGGAAAACTAAAACAATATTTCATCACTAAGATACTTCAATTCAACTTAATAACCGATGAGAGACAATTTTATGAACTAAAGGTAACATCAGTCAGATTTTACAAGGCCAAATAATGTATACTCAAAACAGTAATAAGAAAGAAGTAATACATTTGAGGGCAACAGCATTAATGGAATTCAAAACAACAGCAATAACCTTTCGAACAGTAGCAATAGATTTAGAAATGTTTTTGACAGTAATGATTTATCAAGCAAATAAAATGAACTCATTAATCCTATCGATTTAAAACAAAAGCATCTTTAAAACCTGAGTAGGATAGAATAAATTTAAAGCGAACTTAATCAGAGTTAGAAAAATCATCAAATCTCCAGCATCAATTAAAATATGAATAACTCCTTCGATTCAAAATCTCCTAATTAGTGATAAAATTAAAAGTAATTAAAGATTTCACTTGATTATATAATAATTTGATTAATTTCATGAATCATTTATTTATTGAATCCACTCTCTGGGGTTTTGGGGTTTTGGGG